AGGTGAATAGACAGTCACCCCTTGGTATCCGTGGGGAATTGGGTCCAGGGCTCCCCGAGGATACCAAAATCCACGGATGCTCAAGTCCCTGATATACAATGGTGTAGTATTTGCATATAACCTATGCACATCCCCCTGTGTACTTTAAGTGATCTCTAGATTACTTATAATACCCAGTACAATGCCTACATATCACCTCGTTCTTGTAGATTCAATGTAGTACTTGGTGCGCCAAAAATTCAAGTTTTTCTTTTTAGAAATTTGCAGAATTTTTTTCCCGAATATTTTTCATTTGTGTTTGGTTGAATCCACAGATGTGGAGCTCACGGATACAGAGGGCTGACTGCACTTAATGCCACTGAACTGTACACTCAAAAATGGGTAAAATGATAAGTTTTATGTTATGTATATTTTACTATACACACAAAAAAGTGGAGATGTAAGTTTTTCTTTTTTTTGCCGTCTCTCCCATGATTTGTCATGGTGCCTTTTATTTGCTATTCAATGTTCTAAATAAAGAAAAATTACATATTTAAAATTTTAGCATGAATTTTACTGTTCATTTTTATATTACATGCAATGCCAAGTTTATTGATTTATTTTTATATTTATTTGAGACAGGGTTTCACTCTGTCACCTAGGCTGGTATGCAGTGACATGATTATAGCTCACTGCAGCCTTGAACTCTTGGGCGCACACAATCCTCCCAAGCCTTCCAAGTAGCTAGGACTACAGGCGTGTGCCACCACATTTGGCTAATTTTTTAAAAAAGATTTTTTGCAGAAACAAGGTCTCACTATGTTGCCCAGGCTGGTCTTGAACTCCTAGTCTCAAGTGATCCTCCTGCCTCAGCCTCCCAAAGTGCTGGGATTACAGACATGAGCCACCACTCCAGGCAGCAATTTCAATTTTAAATGCAAATATCAGAGTATTTAACTCACTTTTGGAATCACTGAAATTACACAATTTGTATTGTGTGGCTTGTCTCAGGAGGGTATCTCACGCTGGCTAGCAGAGACAAATACAAGCCAGACTCAGTACAGTTGGAGGGAGGAAGAAGGCATTCCCCCAGGTGCAGGGCCTGTTGAGAGTGCTCCAGGGCATAGCACCTGCCAGCTGCCAGTTCCTCCTCCCTGCTAGGTGTCTCCCCTTTCCACAGGTCTGCTACCCCCGCCCACAGCAAATGGGCCACTCCTAGTGTCTTTAAAACTCAGAGCTGTGACACTCTTGGTAAAGGGGTGGGCAAGAGGCTCACCCCAGTCGAGTCTCAGCTAAGGCTGGCCACCCACCAGGAGCATTGTGGCGCTGCCAGCCTAGGGTGGGGATGGCCACCACCATGGCCTACTCCAGAGGGTGCATGCACTGGACACTGACCCTCCCTGCATTGGCACCAGGCCCCTGCCAAGGGCAGAGGGTAGCATCAGTTGCAGGGTGAGGGCAAGAAGGGGGAGGCCAGGTGGGAGAATGGGGGTGAGAGAGCCCTTCCAGGGAGGCAGCAGGGGTGGGACTTTGTGTAAGCCCAGGCTCCAAGCTCCAGCCCGCATGGGCCTTCACTTACAACATACACATTTAAAGATAGATTTATTAAGAATTTCAAGACTCAGCCGGGCGTGGTGGCTCACGCCTGTAATCCTAGCTCTCTGGGAGGCCGAGGCAGGCGGATTATTTGAGCTCAGGAGTTCGAAACCAGCCTGAGCAAGAGCGAGACCCCGTCTCTACTAAAAATAGAAAGAAATTAATCGGACAACTAAAAATATATAGAAAAAATTAGCCGGGCATGGTGGCGCATGCCTGTAGTCCCAGCTACTCGGGAGGCTGAGGCAGGAGGATCGCTTGAGCCCAGGAGTTGGAGGTTGCTGTGAGCTAGGATGACACCACGGCACTCTAGCCCGGGGGAAAAAGAGTGAGACTGTCTCAAAAAAAAAAAAACAAAAGAATTTCAAGACTGCAACCACAGAGCATTAAACCTCAAGTGCAGGACCCTTCTGAGTATAGGGTCTTGTTTAAACTGTACTGGTTACAGGCCCACGAAGCCAGCCATGTTCTTCAGGCAAAAGAGGGAACTTGGCTGGAGAAATCCTTGAAAGATTCCCCAATCCCAAAGGAAACCTAAGTATAGAAAGTGCTTGTCATGGAGGAGGCTGGGGCAGCCTTTCTCTACTTCCCACATGCTCCTTCTCCCTCCTTGGTACCAGACTTCAGCTCTGCCCCTTTCCTTGGCACTTCCCACTGCCTGCTCACTGTGGGGTCTGTGATAGTTGACTGGTCTGCAATCTTATCTGAGCCAGGAGATACCGGACCATAAATTCCTTGGGCTGATAAATGGAATCCAGTCAACTTCAGCCCTGCTCACTGCTTGGAGACTGTCCACAGTTAGTTTGTCCCTGAAGGCCTGGGGGTAGGCATGAGGGAAGGAAAGATCTGGCCCTCTGGGCAGCTGCTACATGTAGGGGATTAGAGAAGCCACGTCCCTTCTTACTCTAGTCTAGTTCCTAAGTTCTTACCAGGAGTGCAGACTGTAGGCAACGTACTTTGCAGTGGCCTCGAGTTGTGTCGGGCAGAGCAGAGTGATCCAGTGCACTGTCTGGATCATATTGCACAGGGTTATAGGCCAACTGGCTCCGTTTGCTACAGGGGACTCTGCTTTCAAGTGTCTTTTTGGGATTTTTCAACTTTGGAGGACTCCCTTCCGTATCCTGCCCTGTGATCAGACCCCACAGCAGCTTTACTGGCAACCATCAGCACCTCAGCTGGAGTCTCCCCTCGATGGAAATAGACCACCTTGCCAGGCTCCTGAGGTCCCACTTCCAGGAAGGCAGGACGGGGACAAACAGCAGTGCCCCTATGCCCTTTTCTCTGGGTGCCAGTAGGAAGGCATTTTCAGGCACACCAGAACAGTCCATCTTAGCACTGCCGAATCCAACTGCCAGAGGAGCTGGGAGTGGGGAGAAATGCCCTGGAACCTCAGCAAAGTTGGCTGTAAGGGGCCAAGGGAGGCTGACAGCTTGGATTTTGGTCCTTGGAAGCACAGCAGCCTGGCTGGGCCCAGTGGGGAGAAGCTTCCTATCAGCAGCCAGGACTGGCACCAGGAGGCTGGGACCACCCTGTGGTTTCCATGATTCTGGTCTTTCTGCTCTTCATCCCACCCTGCCTGCCCCTTCCTGAGCCACAGTAGGCCTCAGGTGGGAGTTGTGTGTGTGTCTAAATGTCTCTGTCAAGAATGAAGTCTGGGGCCGGGCATGGTGGCTCACGCCTGTAATCCAAGCACTCCGGGAGGCCAAGGCAGGAGGATTGCTTGAGGTCAGGAGTTCGAGACAAGTCTCACCAAGAGTGAGACCCCGTCTCTACTAAAAATACAAAGAAATTAGCCAGACAACTAAAAATATATACAAAAAAAAATTAGCCGGGCATGGTGGCGCATGCCTGGGGTCCCACCTACTTGGGAGGCTGAGGCAGAAGGATCACTTGAGCCCAGGAGTTTGAGGTTGCTGTGAGTTAGGCTGACGCCACGGCACTCTAGCCCGAGCAACAGAGTGAGACTTTGTCTCAAAAAACAAAAACAAAAACAAAAGAATGAAGACTGGATCTGTGGGTGACTAGGGCTTTTTCTAGTGTGTGTGTGTGTGTGTGTGTGTGTGTAGTTTTGAAGGAAAAACAACCAATCCTGAAGGGTTTCCCATTTCAGATGGTTCAGTCATGACCCTTTTTAGCAAGAGCTCAAAGAACCTGACCAAAGATAACATATTAAATAAAACAGCACAACATTCCCCCCTTTCTACTGTAAAGCTTGAAATGAAAAACAGCCGTATTTCAGCTCTCTGCCAAACAAAGCTCAGTGAACAACAGTACAGGAGAGATTGCTGAGGAACAGCCCATCTTTTTTTTTTTATCTTGGTGGACGGTATGCTGAATTTTCAACATTAGAAAATGGTTTTTCAACTGCTCAGGTCATTAGGCAATCAGAAATCACCACAGTTCATCTTGATAATCTCTGCCACAAATTATCATTTGAGGAGGTAACTGCGGTGTGGTGAAAAAATACACTGGATCTGGAGTCGGAAAGTCTGGGTTCTCAAAGTCTTTGCTGTGCCTTTCCATAGCTGGAAGGCCTGGGTAAGATAATTGGCCTCTCTGGACGCTCAGTTTCCTCATGTACAAAATAGGGGCAGTAAATCCCACAAATATCACAAATTGTTGTGAATATATAAAAATATATGGAAAAATACTTATTTTTGTGCTTGATATACAACATACTCTCAGGCTGGGCGCGGTGGCTCACGCCTGTAATCCTAGCTCTCTGGGAGGCCAAGGCGGGAGGATTGCTTGAGCCCAGGAGTTGGAGGTTGCAGTGACGCCACTGCACTCTAGCTGGGGCAACAGAGTGAGACTCTGACTCTAAAAAAAAAAAAAACAAAAAACAAAACAAAAAAACCCAACATGTTCTCAATACGTGTACTGCGATATAATCTATTACTTTTTGGTATTTTCTGCAACATTTCCTCCCTCCACCACCAATTTAATAAAACAAATATAAAGGTAACATTTTAAAAATTGCTGTATTCAAAATTAATAATAAACTTTAGGGTAAATAAGCTTTAAAACAAAATCACATAAGCAAAAATAAATAATTTACACCAACCCACTAACTTAATTTTCAGAGCAAAGCCATTTCCAATAACAACACTGTTATCCCGGGTACTAGCCTGTGGTTAAACTTTGATAATTCATTATTTTTTAAAAACCAGTAACAAAAAACTGAACACTAAGTGAAATCTTTAACAAAACCAAAACACTGGATTTAACTTTTTAATTTTAAATAACCAAACTTTGTAATTTTATACATAATCCAATGTAATGCTAATACAATTAGCATTTCAGCTTGAAGAGTTGGTATTTAGCAGGGATGGGAAACCATAAAGGAACAATCTTCAAACCATGAGATACAAATAAAAATGGACAAGTATATGGTAGAACAAAAACTGCAGACACTCTGCTAACTGGGGGAAATATCTGAAGGCTTTACATCCTTTATTATCCATGATGGCTTTTGGAATTATGATTGTTTGACATATAGAACCTTTGACATTTTAGATACAGCCTTTATTTTTTTTTCACAGTAAGTTAAAAATCCATCATAAGACTGCATAAGACTTCACTAGTCTTTCATGTAGACTCTAGGAGTTTGCAATCTGATAAGAGTAACATGAAAATTTACTGTATTGCCCTAATTTCATACTTCCTTGTACACAATTAATCAGTTTGGGAATCTATTCCAAGAATTATATACACAAAAGTGTCAAGAATAAAATGTTCTCCACTCTTGCATAAAAATGTGTACAGTGTAACAGGAATGGAAAACTTCTAATCTTCCTGGGCCCGGGCTTCATGGATTTCTGCTGCCAGAGACGAAAGGCTCCTTCTGCTTTACTGCTCCACCGTTCTAAGGATTAATCATCCAACCCTGGCGTTTCTCCTTGTTGGATCCTAGATGCTATTCTGATGGCTTCTTCCAGAGATGGCTGTTCTCCAAGCTGAAACAGGGAAACACACATCAAACGCTAACAATTCAAAAGCCACAGTCAAGATAATGCCAAAGAAATGCTATATGTCAGGAGTAAAACTCTCTGTAATTCTGACACTGGGGCTTGTTAACATACTACTGCTAACCCAATTGTTAAGAACACAAAAACAAATTCCTGCAGGGGAGAATTATGCAGTTTTTACTTAGGATTTTTTTTTTTTGAGACAGAGTCTCACTCTGTTGCCCTGGCTAGAGTGAGTGCTGTGGCGTTAGCCTAGCTCACAGCAACCTCAAACTCCTGGGCTCAAGCAATCCTCCTGCCTCAGCCTCCC